GAGTTATTTGGAATAAGTGACATCTGAAGCTATAGGGAAAGTAGTTGATGAGACTATCCCTGAGGTCCCAGACAATTTTGAAGAAAGTAAATTTCCAATGGCATCTGGCTGGCTGGTTGTGTGACTACTACTCCCCCTAAAATTCCAGGTTCTACAATGAATCCTGAGGCCAAGCTATGTGCCTTACACATGTGCTGTTTAGTTCTTAGGACAACATGGGGGAAAGTACAACTTCTAATTCAAATAAATGTATTAGTGTCAATCTGTGCCTGAGTAAAGATTGAATATGAAAGGCCTTATTATTTTAAATTTGTGTGACTGAAACTATGTCACAGTAGTATAGCTCATTTATAGTTTAGCTATGGTTTCTATTTTTTCAAAGCTAATTCAGTACACTTTATTGTGATGATTATGGCAAAAGCTAGATTTCTAGGTCCTACTTTGAATGACCTTTTAATAAATATTGCAACCATTTAGACTACTGCAAGTAAAGAGAATAATAATTGAGTAGGCACTTTGTATAAAATCTCATTTAACAAAAAATACAGAATAATTTTTTCATCTGTTCTTAAGCATAAGTTGACAATTGGAAAAAATACATTTACTTTAAAAAAAAAAAAAAAAAGGCCAACTATCAGTAGTTCCATTGAGTACTTCCATTGAGGAGCTGATTTGAGAGTAACAGGGGTGAGTTTGCCTAGATATATTTTAAACTCCCTCATACTCAAACCTGCCACCTATTCCTATAGTACTATTCATACTCTACTGACATTTTGTGGAATTGGGTAGTACACAAACTGAGATGTGATTTTGTGGAGGTGCCTCCTCAAATGCCCCTCTAACCAGCCATATACATTTGAATATAACGGGGTGAGGTTGGGATGCAGTCGTAACCACTGAACAGATATAGTTGGCTATAATCCAGTATTATCCTGTTCATCTTAAGACTGTACCTGGATTCTCTGTACCTTTGCATCCCCATATTTTTATAGTTAAACATTAAGAGTATGGCTGAGACTTTTTTGGCACAGTTGTTACTTTGAGACACCAAGATGGTCATGTTCTGATTTTATATAGCAATTTCATTGGCATAGTAGTTGAACAGTAGGCAACTATTGATTTATGAGAAATAGATGTCCATTGTGTCTCAATCTTCATTTTAATTTCTAGAAATGATAATTATGTGCTGTAAGGAGAAGGGTCTATATGCTCACTTGTTTTTAAGATTTAAAGTATCTTACATAATTTGAAAAGTATGTGAAATGTCATCATGGAGAATAACTATATCACATATCACATATTAAAGATTATATAATTATATCCAAGCCTAATTTAAATGTAAAAGATTTTATAATTATGGGAAAAGCTAAGCTGATAACTTTAAATTGCAATGTTAGTCTCATGGCTTAGCGTTAGAAGACTGAGGTCTATTTTAAGGAGTGTGTGTGTGTGTGTGAACCATTTATGGCTATTGGTACCACAGAGCAAAACTGATTTCTCTGGAGAACTTTCATTAATTATTAATTTCCCTTGAAATATGTGTACATTGGAATAAACTCAAGTTAAGTTGATTGGATCATGGCTTTGGTATGTCGGTTCAGAGTAGTTAGAAAAGGGTTCCTGCCCTTAAGATCCTTGACCCTACAACTTGATAACTCTGTAACCTCAGAGAAGGTCTGTTATCATAAAATGGTAGTTTTGATCTAGAGAAATTTATTTGGGGCAGCTAATTTAGGCAAATTCATTGAAATCGGTATTTATAAATTAGTTTTTGGCAATCCTAAGTATGGCCAGACTTTACTATGCTGTTCGTTCTCACTCCTTTCTGCTTACTCCTCTGTATCTCCCCTACACACAGACACATGCATGTATACTATTGCACCTTGGGGACACCATCATTACAGAATATCTTCTCCTTGTAACGTATTTCCCTGTCAGGCACTCATGTATCTTTTGCATACAGAGTATTTTCCTGTCAGAGAGATTATCTCTTACTCTTATCTAATTTTGAATGCTAATTAATTCATATTGATACATGCATGTATTTCCATGTCAAGCAAGAAATTGGAGGTAGGAAATCTGGAAGAGGTTTAGCCTCAGCTATAATTTGAGGAATTGTAGACTGGTTTGGAAGAGCTTTGGGACAAGGAGCCCTTGAAATTAGATTAAAAGCAGCTTTAGCAAACTGGGGGATGGGGGTGGGATATTGTGGTACAGATAGTTGGATTGACCAATCTTAACTTTGGGCCAAACTGGGAAAAGGCAGTACTGTCACAGCTTCTGTGTGCATTTAAATTTTTTTTCTCTAAGTATGATGGTGAATCAATCTCCAAGGCTGAAATTATTTATACACAGACATGTATACTCCAATATTTGTGGACAGATTGGAGTACCATAGAGAACCACTGATCCAGTCAAACTGATAGAGTAATACTAGTAGCTACAAAAAAAGACTTATTTGTCCTTATTGATAGACAGATGAATGCAGGATTCCCTACTCTCAAAGTATGAAAATCCTATAATGGCTATTTAAAAGTAAATAAATAAATAAGTCATCTGAGGAGCCCTGGTTATGCAGTGGTAAAGTGCTTGGCTGCTAACCCAAAGGTCAGCAGTTCAAACCTACGAGCTGCTCTATAGGAAAAAGATGTGGCGGTCTGCTTCTGTAAAGATTTACAGCCCTAGAAACCCTATGAGGTTGACACATTGGGAGAATAATACAGGCATTCACCAGGTTACGAATAGCTGACTTAGGTACAATGAACTAATCCCTGTAAAGCCTATTATATTAAAAACCCAGAATACACACAGTGGTTCATAGTAACAACCAGGAGCTCTTTTGTGAGATGCATTACAATGTCATTATTATTATTGTATTACTATGTTAAAAATGTTTTACTATATCTGGAAGGGTTTCTTTAATATTCTTTGTGCCTAGAAAGGAACACTATATATTAAGACAAATGTTTGACTGACATTAGATACAAACCTTACCTACCTATTCCAACTTATGTACAAATTCGACTGAAAGGCAGATAGGAATGGAGTTCATTCGTGTCCAGGGACTGCCTATACACTATAATGAGTGAGGCAAATTACAAAGCAAAAAGATGGAAAATTTATTATGTTTCATTATGTCACTGAATCGCAACTGTATCAGACCCAGTACCCCTCTTTTTTTTAACAAATGGTTTACTCTTTGCTAATCTAGAAATTGAATCCATAGATAATATAATCTTTCTGTACACATAGATTAAAATAACATATATACATTTAAAATATATATATTGTCCTAACACTTTGTATCATATATATATAAATATGTATATTTGTGTATGTATGTGTGCATCTCCTTCACTATTTGTTCTGTTGTATGATTTTTAGAGAATTGAATTGAAAAGTATGTCTTCCAAGTATATTTTAAAGAGGGTACCACAGATCAGTTCAAAAGGAAAGGATTATTTACAAATTATTTTGGGACATTTTGTTTGTTACTGTATCTGAGATCAAACATACATTTAGTTATGCACCACACGTCATACTCTAACAGAAATTGCAGATGCATAAATATTAGATATATATAAACATTCAACAATATTTAAAGAAAAAAGTCATTACCAGATTTCTGGAAAAGGGCAACTTTAAATCTTAAAAAAGAAAAGAAAGAAATCACAATTAGGGTTTAATAATGGTTACCAGAGGTGGGAGGCAAAGGGTAAGGGGGGAATCATTGTTTAGGTGGCATAGAGTTTTTGTTTATGGAAAATTGGGCAATGAATGCTGGTGATGGTTGTACAACATGATTGATGTAATTGGTTCTATTGAATCGAACCACTTATAAAATGTTGAATTGGCAAATGTGTTCTCTGTATTTTTACAATTTAAAATAGAAAAGGAAACATAGCTATACCATACAAAACAACTGGGAATCCTTGATTTAGACGTTTAGAGAACATTATTTTGATGAGGGCAATCACATGTACATGGGTAACATTGCATACATTCCAAACTGGACACTGTATTTTAATCTTGAAGGGGAAAATATTTTTTACATGACAGAACCTAGAAAATTAATCCAACTATCATTGCTTCATCTGGAGTGCAGGCAAAATGGTGTTTTCAGCTCATGCCAATACTAGAGATTCCTATCATTCTTAATAATAAGTTTAGTTTTCAAGGAAAATAATCCTTTCTTTTGTGAACCCTCAAATTCACTTGAATTTTCAAAAGTAATTTACCACAGTTTAACTCACTTCCTACTGTTTTCCTTTTTTTCTTACAAGAAGTTACCAGACATATTCCAACACATATCCTCTTACTCTTTTGATCTTTTTCTACACCTGCAGTTACAAATAAAAAGTGGAAGAAGTAAATACGATGATGAAAATGAAAACACATTACTCAAATCTTTGACTTAGTCCTGGTAACATTTTCCTATTAAAGAAGAAAAACTACAATATTCCCCTTTCCTATTACTGATTTCTCATCTTCTCAATCTCTAATTATGAAGTTTCTGAATTGTTTAGATCTTTGATTTTGTACTGCCTCCTGCCTTCTTTTTTGGCTTTTTCACTGCTAATTAACACCTTTCTCACCAAGCAAAGCAAGGGAAATTAAAGGCCCCAAAATTCAAACTGCTCATGTTTATTTGTTGTTAGCCTCTGTATGAAAAATTTCACAGAGCTAATAGAAGTTGTGGTATTAAATGTTTGGTGTTTGAGGTTCTGTGGCATTTTGTTATCCATGCTATTCCTATTTTCCATATTGGACTTGGCTGTGTTACTGGAAATGTTGATAAAATGGAAGTGAATCCTAGGTTAGTAGTTAGGGAACTTAGTTTTGTTCCTTAACTAGACCACTGAACTAGCCATGTAACTAATCTTTCTCTACTACTTGTTTTACCCTTCTGTGATATTATGGGTAGGTTTTAATGATCTTTAAAACCTCTTGTGTGTGTTGTTGTTCTTTCTCTATAGTATTTGTCTCTCTCTTTGGAGGTCATGAAACGAGTACGTACAGAGCAGATTCAGATGGCAGTGTCCTGCTACCTCAAACGCCGACAATACGTGGATTCAGAAGGTCCCCTAAAACAAGGATTGCGACTGTCACAGACTGCTGAAGAGATGGCAGCTAATCTCACAGGTAATGGGGGCTCTCCTCCTGTGGTATGAGAAGAACCCAAGTAATGTCTCTGCAGGACAACTGCTTTTCTTCTTGAGATAGCACTGAAAAAGCAGAATACCCAAATCTGAATGAACAGCGTCCAGTGCATGCTGCCGGCTCAGAGAAGAGAGCTGTCCTTCAAACCCATGTTCAAATGCCACTTCTAAAAACCTGTTTTCATTCTACTGGCTAACAGTGAAATTTCCTGATGTTATGTGCAACTTTTTCCTTCTGTAAACTATTATCCTGTAAAACCCTTGGGGACAAGGTCTCACCAAGATCTCATCTCTTGTGCAACCTCACCATGGAAATCAGTTGTTAGGTGAATGAGTATTTGGGGACCAATAGTTGGAAATAGATATCTTAGATAATGTTCCTGAGGTTCTTAACATTTACCATTTTTGTATGCTTTGAAGTTGGATTTTCTTTTAGAAAAACTTGTTTTGAATCCATCTGGAATAACAATTCTCAATTACTTTTTGAATTCAGGCTTTTATTTGATATCATTTTCTTTTATTGAATTCATGTGCTGGAGATTTTGAACTAAAATTGCTGCAGTGCTTTAGGGTGATTGTGAACAACTTGAATGGCTATAATGTGGAGTTAGAGTTAGCGTTATGTTCTCTAACTGAGCCTTGGCTCCTTTCCTTAGCTGCTCAGACTACATCCTTCACTCTTCTTTGTTCCTGGACTTCCTTCATGTCTTAAAAGGATCTGTCACCACCTGCTTCATCACTTAATGGCTTCAACCTTCATACTGATAGCAACAATTAACTCAGCTGCCTCTTTTCTTACTACCTTCAAAATCAAGGAGCTTGGCTCTTTTTGCCTTAAGATTTTATTTTAGTTTGCTAATGCTGCTGTAAGTTGATGGTTTTAAAGAATGTAGATTTATTTTCTCATTGTTTAAGAGGCTAGAAGTCCAAGTTCGGGGAAGGCTTTCTATAGGCTCTCAAGGAACATCCCTGTCTAAGCTTCTGTAACCTCAGCATTCCTCAGTTCCTTGACAATCTTCACATGGCATCTTTCTTTCCCCCATTTTGCTTGCATCTCTCTTTGTGTAATCTGCTCTTTATGTACCTCAAATGTCCTCAGGTTTAAGACACTCCCTACTCTGATATGACCTCATTTATAGAACAAAGAAAATCCTATTCCCAAGTGGAATTACTCCAAAGTATAGTGGTTAGGATCCTAATGCACATGGTGGGGGGGCAGGGTAAGAATTTAATTCATAATAAAGTTTATTGTAGTTGCTATAGGAAAAGAGTGCAAATCTGAGAATGTCTTCAAAAAAAGTGGTTCCTTACTCCCTCTGACACAATAGAAGCAGCATAGTTGCACATCTGCCTTCTTGTTCATTAAGATCAAATTCACACATTCTTTTCTTTCCTTCAAACTGCATTTGGTTACCTTTCACAAAACAGGGCCAGATGATGGGCTAGCAGAAATTAATAGGTGCCTTATTGTTTCTAATAAGGTATCCAATTTATAGGACCTCTGTCTCACCCTACAGTAATTTCTTCTAAACTTGCTCTCACAACTTTTAATGCATATTGATAATCTCCTGCTGCCCTGTGTGCATATGCTGTTGTTGATAGCAAGTAGGAGTGAACATGACTAAACAATCTTCCAAAAACTTTACTCTTCTTAGTTGTCTTATACTGATAGTTTGTTAGGAGATCCATTGCTTTTTTTGGAAAACCACCAGGAAAAGTGAGGAACACAAAGTATGATTATCATAAGAGTTGGTCCTAGGTCTTTCAGTTAAATGAATGATCTGAATAATCATGTATTGATTAAGCAGTTTATTGAACAGCTGTTGTAGGCCAGGTGCTCATAAATCCTAGAGATAATGAAGTTTTGATCCTAGCTCCTTAGTGACTGAGGGTCTTAATTGCATCTAGTAAGGCAAGTGAACCAGTGATTATAGAAGAATAGGATGTAATAAGTTCTGTGAAGAAAATATGCCTCAGGCTCTATAGGAGCAAAGAAGATGTTCATCTAAATTAGACTACCAGGTAGTGAAAATTCCAAAAGGTCTTACGGTTCCTAGCAGTAGTAGGGGGTCAGTAAATAGAAGGAATGAGCTGAAATTCAAAGGAGCCACTAGAAATTTACCAGGGGATGGAGTGACATGAAAGAGAGTATCCAAATTATCCAATGTGAATTTTAGAAAGATCTCTCTGGTGGCAATGTTGATTGATGAGGGCCCAGATTAGAATCAGGGAAGCTAGTTAGAATAGTGACAATCTACATGAAAAGTGAGGAAAGACTGAGTTAAGGAATTAGTAATAGAAATGGAAAGAATAGATTTTAGGCATTCGTAGGACTTAGTAAGGAGCCCTGGTGGCACAATGGGTAAGTTTCAGCTGCTAACCAAAAAAGATTGGTGGTTCAAAGCCACCAACCACTCCATGGGAGAAAGATGTGACAGTCTGCTTCTGTAAAGATTATTGCCTTGGAACCCTGTTGGGTAGTTCTGCTCTGTACTATAGGGTCGCTGTGAGTTGGAATAGACTTGATGGTAGTGGGTTCTGGTTTTTATGGGACTTAGTGACTGATTAAATGAGAAGAATTCCACTCTTCCATGTGCAAACGTCCAGCAAATACCCCTTCTTCTGGCTACCTCCCCTCTGCTTTCTGCCATGTATGGACCTCTCTGAGTTCTACTAGGGTTAATTTACTCTCATCCATGTCCCTTTTTATATACACTCTATGTTTTGTCTTCCTCAGTCCTTCTGCATTAATTACCATTTCTCTGTCCATATTCCACCTTGTAAAAATATGTTCATATTTTATCCAGTTTGCTGTTAAAAGATGGCTTCTCTCAGTCTCTAGCTACTTTTCCTCAGCCCCCACCCCCAACTCCACCCCCACCCATGAAAGAATAAGGGAATTTTTTTTTTTTCTTTAAAAGCACAAACTCACATAATAGAGATTAAGTGTATGTTTACATACTGAATGTTGAGACTCTGGTCTTCTCCAACTTCAGCTACCCAGAACACCAGCAGTCGGGCATGTATCCTTCAGACAGAGGATTAAAAGATTCTTCCCTGGAAAGCCTAACCGGCCCAGGAGAAAAGACTGACAGATACTGACATTGGAAAATACTGACCCATGAAAAACATAGGTCATCATAATTGATTAACTGCATCCACATGCACAGAGTTCGCCATCAACTCTTTAATACTTTACTTTTAAATATGAACCGATAGCTAGGGATTATCAGACACTGAAAGAAGTGTACCTAATACAAAAGATAGAGACAGAAAAACATCAGAAGCATACAAACAGAGCTATGCGCACCTATGTTCATTGCAGCACTATTCACAATAGCAAGAAGATGGAAGCAACCTAAGTGCTCATCAACAGATGAATGGATAAGTAAAATGTGGTACATACATACAATGGAATACTACTCAGCAGTAAAGAAAAATAAGTTCCCAAAACAGCTTGTAATATGGATGAACCTGGAGGACATTTGTTGAATGAAATAAGTTAATCACACACGATAAAAAACAAGTATGTTCTCATTTTCATGAAATGACATGAGCACGTAAATATATAGAAGCTAATGTTCACTACTAGTTACCAGAGATGGGAGGAGGGGTTCACTTATTTTTATTTTCAGACACTTACTTTAGTGATTGGAAAAGTAACACTGAATGAGGGTGCAGTGTACACAGTTTAACAAAGGTAAACAATATCACTGAAAGGGCCTATTGATAATTGCTATGGCATATATTATTTTGAAACAACCAAAAAATATATGTGAAGTTATATATGTATGTTTGTAGGCATATATATGTTTAGGGGTGTGTGTGTGTGTGTGTATAGGCTTATGTGTAAATATATACATCTATATGACTATGTACATATGTGCATATATATAATAAAGTCCATGGGGGCACAGTTACAGATACTTCTTAGACATAACCAAATACCTTTTGTTGTTGTTATGTGCCGTCGAGTCAGCCCTGACTCATAGCGACCCCTCCTTGGGTTTCTGAGGCAGTATCACTACGGAAGTAGGATTGCCCAACCTTCCTTCCGAGGAGTGGCTGGTGGGTTTGAACCGCCAGCCTTCTGGTTAGCAGTCAAGTGCCTTAGCCACTATGCTACCAGAGCTCCTTAACCAAATACCTAGTGGGATTAAATTTCTGGATTTGAAGGATTAAGACCATAGTCTCCTGGAACATCTCAGTCAATTACATAATGTTCTGGTTACCTAGTGCTGCTCTGACAAGAATATACCACAAATGGGATGGCCTTAACAAACAGGAGTTTATTCTCTTACAGTTTGGAGGCTTTAAGTCTAAGTTCAAAGTGCCAGGCTCTAGGGGCTGGATGAAAGCCCCTCAGCCCTGGGCTTCAGCTCTGCCTCCATCTCCCAGCCAACTGAAGCTAGAGGCTTACTGAAGCTAGAGGCTTTTCTTCACTCAGACAGCTGCTGGCTGCTGAGGCTGCCAAGCCCAAGGTTGACAAGTAAAAAAAAAGGCACAGTCCCAATATTACCAAATCACACAGCAGGCCATGAATTCAAGTCCATTGTGAGTCCCAAGGTCAGCAGAGCATGGCAGTCTGCTGAACAACGACATGGCTACATGCAGGGTTCAAGGTGCCATAAGCTAGAGACCATTCCCAAGGGTTCTCCTTATATACACGAAGCAGACCACATACCCAAAGCAATTACTCAGCTACTTGTGGTAGATCCCACCATGGAGTTGATTGCCAGAATCAGAATCATCATGGGGAATAACTACCACTAGCTGCCCAGCCACTCAACTAGGCCCAGCCAAGTTGACACACAAACATAACCACCACACTTAATATAGTTTATAATGTATGTTCTGCATCCTAGTTTGATGAGTAGTGTCTGGGTTCTTAAAAACTTGAGTGGCCAACTAACATACAACTATTGGTCTCACTTCATCTGAAGCAAAAGTGAAAGAGGAAACCAAAGATTCAAAGAAGAAACTAGTCTACAGGACAAATAACCTATGTGAACTACAGCCTCATCTACTCTGAGACCAGAACTAGATGGTGCCTGGCTACCAATACCGACCATTCTAATCAGGGCCACAGTAGATGGACCCTGATAGAACAGGAGAAAAATATGGAACAGAGAATGTCAAATACCTAGTTAAAAAAAAAAAAAACATACCTATTGGACTGGTTGAGACTGGAGGACTCCCTGAGACTATTGGCCTGATACACTCTTCAAATGTTAAACTAAAACTAGCCCCTGAGGTCACCTTGTAGCTAAATAACAAATTGGCTCAAAATGCAATGAGCCAATAGTCTACATGATTACAGATTAAAGGGCCCACTGAGTGCCTAGCCCAGTGGATGAAAATGGACTCACCCCACGTGCATTTTATGAAATTCAGAACGCTAAGGTCAAAGGTTTCTCTTGTCAACTGTTGGTCTCCTCTCATCTGAATCAAAGAAGAGTGAAGAAAATCAAAGGCATCTGGAAACAATTAGTCCAAGGATAAGATGGACCACGAGGACCTCAGCCTTCATGACTCTGAGACCAGAAGAACTAGATGGTGCCCAGCTACCTGTGCCAACACTCTGAAAAGGATCACAACTGGAGATCCTGGATAAAGTGGGAGGGAAAATGTGCAACAAAATTCAAAACACAAAAATGACCACAATTACTGGTTGGATAGAGACTGTTGGAACCCCTGAGACTATGGCCCTGGGTTACCCTTTGGCCCTAGAGGTGAACTCACTCCCATGGATGGGCTCTCAGTCCAACAGTAGAAAGACCTACATGCAGAACACCTTCTCCAGGGTGATGCACCCACCTACTCTAAGGAGATGTACCCCTTAGAGCAATCGGCCATGAGACACCAGAGGGGCAACATTCACATGGAAAGCTGGACAGACAAGGGCACAGGGAAGGGGTAGTCACAGGGACAGGAGGGAAGGAGAGTTTTTAATGGTTGGAGATGGTAATCAGGGCATGAAATCAAATGTGCATGAACTGTTGAATGTAAAACAAACAAAAAATGTAAGGAAATCACCTGTGAATGCTATACTCCTTTAAAAAATCATCTATATGAGACCAAAGGAGCTCTGGTAGCATAGTGCCTAAGGCACTTGACTGCTAACCAGAAGGATGGTGGTTCAAACCCACCAGCCACTCCTTAGAAGGAAGATGAGGCAATCTACTTCGGTAGTGATACTGCCTTGGAAACCCAAGGAGGGGTCACTATGAGTCTGGTCCAACTCGACGGCACATAACAACAACAGCAACAAACATATGAAACCAAACAGTCAAACCACCAACCACCACTGCTATCAAGTCAATTCCAACTTCATGGCAACCCTATAGGACAGAAGAGAACTGCCCCATAGAGTTTCCAAGGCTATAAATGTTCACAGAAGCAGACTGCTCATCTGTCTTCTGCAACTGGTCGGTTCAACTGCTGACCTTTTAGTTAGTAGCCAAATGCCTTAACCACTGTACCACCACAGCTTCTTAAACAATCAACAATTACTTTGAAACAAAGATGAGAAACTAGATCAATGGGAATGGAACCAGAACAGAAATAATGAAAGTGTTCATGCATTGTGAATAATGTAACTAATGTCATTGAACAACTTGTGTAGAAATTGTTGATTGGAGATCTAAATTGCTGTGTAAACCTTCACTGAGAATACAATATAATAATATTAAAAAAAAAAACTGGGAGGAAACAAACAGTAGAGAAGAAAAATTCAAAAATACTGTCAGTAATATCCTTGAAACAAAAATAGAGTACTATTAAAAAAAAAAAAAAAAAAAAAAAAAAAAAAATTTAGCAAATTAAATCCATGAAAGGAAAAAAGAAAAAAAAAAAAACAGTTGTTATGTGCCGTCAAGTTGGACCCAACTCATAGTGACCCCTCCTTGGGTTTCCAAAGCAGTATCACAATGAAAGTAGATTGCCCCATCTTCCTCCTGAGGAGTGGCTGGTGGGTTTGAACCGCCAGCCTTCTGGTTAGCAGTTAAGTGCCTTAGCCACTATGCTACCAGAGCTCCCAAAAAAAACAGTAGAAGGGTTGAAAATTGAGGAAGCCTTTAAGAAAGAGCAAAAAGGAAAAGAAATGGAAGCTAAGAGAGGAAATTAAAGGGTCAGTTCAAGAGGTCCTCCCTTGAAATAGAGTACCAGAAAGAAAATAAGAAGCAATCAACAAAATGAGTCAGGAAAAGTCTCAGAACAGAAAGATAACAATTTCCAGATTAAAGGGCCAAGTGGGTACCTAGCCCAGTGGATGAAGATGAATTCACACCCAGGCACATTTTGTGAACTTCAGAACACTAAGGTCAAAGGTTTCTCTTGTCAATGTTTGTACCTACCTGCCTTCATTTAGTATATTTATCCTTGTAGTTTATACCTTTCTTTCCTCCACAGTCATGTTATTGAATATCAGGAGGGAGAAAATAATAAACATGTGTCCTCAGTCTGTCATAATTAACCAGAAACCCCAGCATACTTTGAAAATCTACTGAAATATCAGTTGCTTTTGAGGGGTACTTAACACCCTCCTTCACCCCACCCCATCCTGCCATATTTTGGGTTAATAACTGTTTCTCCCCTTCTCTACTCTTACATATCTTTCTCCCCCTAGTCCAATCAGAATCTGGTTGTGCCAACATTGTGTCTGCAGCCCCTTGCCAGGCAGAACCCCAACAATATGAAGTACAGTTTGGACGACTACGGAATTTTCTCACTGGTAAGTACTCAGTACTAGGAACCTTTCCTTATTAAGAAAGATTAATTCAAATTTCTCTCAGAACCTACATTGTGCCAAGCATGGTGCTAGATTCTAGGGACTCAAAGGCAATTTAGCACAATCCTTGCATTAAGAACTTAAAATTCTAGAGAGAGTTAAATCACAGGGTTAAAATTTACAAGAGCTCTGGTGTGTTTCATTCACTGTTTTATAGATAGCCTCCAACACATATAGACTGGCATGTAGATACTCAGTAAACGCGCACTAAGTAAGTGAGTGTTAAATCAGGTAGATAGAGAAACATCCTTAAATGCGGCACTTTTGAAATATGCATTGATATTTCGATTGATAATAAAAACAAACAAAAAAAAAGAAAATGCCACCAGAGCTCCTTACTGATAACACAGTAGTAACATCTTAAAATAGTCTTTTCTCCTTATTCCAAAAATGCAAGGTAATAGTCCTTACAAATCAGCAAGATAAAACTTCTAAGGTAAAAATATTAGAAATTGTGGTTTACACTAGTGTGTGGGTGGTAGAATGAACACTAAAACACGAAATCAGTATATATGAGTTCTCCTCAGTTTTTCTAACTCACTGTGTAACTTTTTAAATGAGCTACTTAAAAAAAGGTGAGTCACTTAACCTGGCCGGGGGGGTTGCTTAGTTTCCTCACGTGTGAAGTAAAAAGGCAGTTAGTAGGCTAAACCAACTGATCTCTTTTAGTCGTAAGGGAACTGATTATAATTTTAATGTTGGAAAAACTATTGCACTAAAGGAAACCATGCTGATTCAGATTATTAATGAATACTTTTTGCTGAGCACTTTCTATATTTTACCTTGTGTTTTGCCTTGAGGTGTAGGAAATATACTGAGCTTTAGTCACATACAATTAAAATTGTCTTAATTTTACTTATTTGTAACTAATCACCATGTTGGTTATATTTTAAAGAAAAGAATCTGTATTTACTAAAGTCTAAAGTCAGGAGCTCTAGTAGCATAGTGCCAAGGCTCTTGACTGCTAACCAGAAGGCTGGCGGTTCAAACCCACCAGCCACTCCTTGGAAGGAAGGTTGGGCAACCCTACTTCTGTAGTGATACTGCCTCGGAAACCCAAGGAGGGGTCGCTATGAGTCGGGGCCGACTCAACGGCAAATAACAACAACAACAACAAAGTTGGGAAAAATCAAAAAATCTTATAGGAAATAAACATTAAAAAATAAAACTCAAGAGGAATTTATCAGTTTTCACAGTTGTTGAATGATAAGTAGAGAATATTCTGTTAAATAGTTAGAAAAATGAAAAATCATATAGATTAAAGATTTAGCCAAAAGAAGTCTAAACTGTTTAAACTGGAAAAAAAAAGTAACTCTATTAAGATTCTCATATCATATGAACATTAAGTATCTCAGAATAGTGATCATTTGCTTTCCATTTCCACTAAAGATAGAGGAAAAAATAAAAACATGAATTTATAATAAGAAGGATTTTATCCAGAAGTAAACAAGAACTTGGAGAGAATGAGTTATTTTTAATCACTAGGATTGGTTTTAATTTTCTAAGTCAGTTTTTATTTATTTGGTTTTTTAAATTTATTTTTTATTGTGCTTTAGGTGCAAGTTTACAGAATAGTTTGTTTTACATTCAACATTCCATGTACATTTAGTTTAACTTCCCATTTACCATCCCCAACCCTAACCCAGTCTCCTCCCCTCCCTGCCCAGTAGACCCCCGCCCTGTGCCCCTCATAGTTAAGCACTCCTGTGTGTCCTGCATTTCCTTCATGCGAATGTTGCCCCTCTGATGCCCCGTGGTTGATTGCTCCAAGGGATGCATTTCCATGGAGTATGTGGGTGTGTCACCCTGGGTTGAGTGGTCTGAGTGTACATCTTGTTTACTATTTGGCTAAGAGCAGCCCCTGAGAGTGAGTTTTATTCCAGGCCCAGAATGTATGCTGAGCCATAGTATTGGGGGTCTCATCAGACTCCATTCAACCAGTAATCTGGTCATTATTGAGTTTTTGGTTTTTGTTCCATTTTTTTCTTCCCACTCTATCCAGGATCTCCAGATTTGATCCTTTCCTGAGTTGTTGGCATTGGTAGCCAGGCACCATCTAGTTCTTCTGGTCTCAAGGGCCTTCATGTCCTAGGGCCTGTTGCTTCCAAATGCCCTTGTTTTTTGTTTTGTTTTGTTTTGTTTGCACTCTACTTCACTTCTGACGATAGGAGACCATTAGCTGCATCTTAGATGGTCGCTTGAAAGCTTTTAAGACCCCAGTCACTACTCACCAATGTAGGATGAGGAACAAGACTTTTATGTATTTTTTTGTGCCAGTTGAGTCTGGTGTCCCCTGTACTATGGTCCTGAGTCGGTAGATCTGTTGGATCCATTGGATCTACCAACGGATCTAAGTTAGGTTTTAGAAATTATTCTGTTCGCTTAAAATGGGATTATATTTATCCCTTTGTGATAGATTACCTCACCATTCTAGTTGTAGAGAACCTGTCTTTCATTCATTCAACCTGTATGTTATATAAGCACTTACTGTGTGCCAGGCTCAATATTCCAATAGGGTTTATTGATAGGTTCCCTACCCTTATAGAGCATACTGTGTGATAAGGGAAACAGACAAAAAAGTTACCCAAATATATAACTATATTAGTGATTTACTTGGTCTTCTCATGCCTGTGAGATGGCTCGTGAGCATAACTTATTTCCATTATGAAAAATGCTAAGATGACCCTAGTGACATTATGTAGATTTTTGCTTATATATCTTTATATATCATAGGCATATAATAAAATAGACAGTGAAATAATTCTGTTGTTATTAAACTGCTACATATTTCTTGCAGAACAGAATTACTATATTTAGTTGAAAACTAATGTGATTTAAGGAGACCCTGGGTAGTACAAACGATAAAGCGCTAGACTGCTAACCAATAGGTTGACAGTTCAAACTCACCCAGAGGTACCTCAGAAGTGAGGCCTAGTGATCTGCAGCCTTGAAAACCCTATGGACTGCTCTTCTCTGCACACATGGGGTTGTCACATGTCAGAATCAACTCAGCAGCATCTGACAACAAAGTGATTTACCCTAGTGCAAATGTTTCTGTTCAAATCCCTTTCCCAATTATTCCTTGGGGGCCTTGACTTTTTCTGAAATATTTGACAGGCTCTTAACTTAGAATCACAGCCTTGAAAACCCTGTAGAGTGCAGCTCTATTCTGCACACATTGGGTGTATGTGAGTCAGAATTAACTCAAAAGTACCTGTTTGGGTGAGTGTGTGTGTGTATGTGTGTATTTAAACATAGACTAGCTGTTCGCTTCTTTTATTTATAGTACTGGTTTTTTTCTCCCTAATACGTGTTATTTTGTTCATTTTCATTTCATGTTTTCCTTTGCCCAAACTTTACATTTTCATTTTCCTTTGTGATTTTTTTTTATCTTGGTCCAAAACTGATACAGTTGTCTGTTACATTGTATATAGTTTGGTTGTTTATTCCATCTGTTACAAATTATCTGGAGAAAGGTTGAAATACATTCTTTTCACTTAAGGACTGGTTTCCCTGGAAGATTTTTTTCTATTCTTAGGTCTCTCAGGAACAGTCAGCCAAACCAAATGGACAAGTATTGCCTGAGCACCAAAATAAAGTATAAAATACAATCATTAATCTAATTTAGAAGCTAATACTAACATAAAAGGTTAAAAGTAAAAATTTTTAGTTAAAATTTGAGTACAGTAGAAATGTCTTCACAGACCAGTATGAGATCAGTTGACAAATTGTGTATTTATAGGAATTGTATTTGAAACTGAAAGAAGAAAGTGATTTAGACTGGAGTAGTCAGATAAAATTTTAAATTAGCACTTAAAGGATAGGGTAGATTTTAGTAGGAAAGCAGAAACAGGAGTATTCCAAATAAGGGTGACTCAGGTTTTGAGACTGGGACAATTAACGTGTATTAAACTGAAATAACAAGTCAGAAGGGTTATATGATTGAAATTGTGGCAACTTGCTATACAGCTTACAATAGAAATTTGGAATTTAAGAGAAAAGTACAGACTTGTGATAAAGAGTTCTGCAACACCTACATCTGGAGGTACAAAATAAAGCCTTAAGAAATAAAAAAATCTCAAAGGAAGAGAATAAGGAAAGATAAGCATATCTAAGGCTTTACCATCCTGAATGCATTTTTTCCTCCAAAGGTTAAACTATCTATAGATGTGAGCTTCTATGATGTTCTCACCTGTGGCTGTCAGCCCTTTTCTTCAGGAGGTGTAGTGGAAAGCTGTGACTCTTAAACAAGACTGCAGATATTCAGCACACAGGCAGCATACACCTAATGTTAACTCTTAAGTGAAATGAGCGTTTGAGGAATGAACAGAGGAAAAGGAGCCAAAAACAGAGGGATGGGAGCCAGGTCAAGTGTTATTTCAGAGGAAATGACAGTATGTAACAGTCAGTGGGGTCAGACACTATAGGAAGGTAGAGGAGAATGAGTACTAACAAGGTCAGTTTTTGGTTAGTGTCTTTTTTACTACTAATTGCTAAGAACTCCATTAAAAACTCCTTTTTACTCTTGTTTACTCTTAGCAGAGAGTGGCTCAAGTAGGTACTCATTACATATTCAGTAAGCACATTTTCTGGAGGATATGTTACTTTTCTAATTGTTTGTTGTTGTTATGTGCCCTCAAGTCGGACCCAACTCATAGCAACCCCTCCTTGGGTTTCCAAGGCAGCATCACTAGGGAAGTAGAAAAAAATGCTTTAAGTGAATATACAAAAACAAAACCAAAGTCACTGCCATCAAGTCAATTCTGACTCATAGCAACCACTATTGGCTTTCCAAGGCAGTAAATCTTCACAAAAATAGGTTGCCCCATCTTCCTTCTGTGGAGTGGCTGGTGGATTTGAACCACCAACCTTCTGGTTAGCAGTCGAATACCTTATATGCTGTGCCACCAGAGCCCCTATTAAGTGAGTATACTTTCTGTAAAATATAAAGTGTAAGTCATAATTATAAGAGAACAGGATAAAAAAAAAAAAAAAAAAAGATGTATAAAGAGTAAAGACTTCTGTGAATTTCACCTTCTTCTACATGTAGAATATTTTTATAAAAATTGTGTTTTATTCCTAGCATTTTGTTCTCTTCAGTCAAAAAAGAACAAATAAAACAATTTGGAAACTATGACCTATAGCCAACACTAAATTTCAGTAATTTTTAAAGTGGTGCTTTCCTGTGCCTTGGTGGCCAGATTTTTTTCTAGACTTAAAAAATGCTTCTCTTTTGGAAAATAAACCTAAAACTAAGATTTAAAGAATTGAAAACAATCTCTTGTCCCAGTAGAGTATATTGAAAGTCTAATAGATAAGGTTTGAGTTTTATTTTCTATAATGGACATAGCTGCCTTTTAATTTACAGAGTACTCTGGTGGCACTGTGGTTAAAGCACTGGGCTGGTAACCAAAAGTTCAGTGATTAAAACTCATTAGCTACTCTGCAGGAGGAAGATGAGGCAGTCTGCCTCCATAAAGATGTACAGCGTTGGAAACCCTATGGGCAGTTCTACTCTGTCCTATAGGGTCTCAAAAAAGTCAGAATCAACTCAGTAGCAGTGAGTTTGGTTTCAGTTTATAATTTATCTTTTACATATGAGTAAGAATAATGAGTAGAATGAGTATTTGAGTAGAGAAAAGTTTATTCTAAAATACAATGTTATGCATATTTATTTTGTAATGAAGTAAAATAGAGAATTGGACAGAGATAGTATGCTATCATTTATCGTAAAATTAGAGAGGCAGGATTATATAATGCAGAGTTGCAGAATCTTGAGCCCTCTGTGAATTACTTTTAATGAAAAACATGCTAGTAGAACCTAAGCACTGACTTAAAGCATTTTCTATTTATTTATATGAATTAAAGCAGATGTAAAATCTTTATTCTCATATTTCTGTATGAATCCTAAATTTGTTTATAGATAAAGTACAAACAAAATCATGAAAGGAATAAAATTCAAATTAACAGCAATTTAGTGTAATGATGAATTTTGCCACAACTAAACTGCTGCACAAAATGGAAGTATAGATAACATGCACTGATGGCTGTCACACAGGTTACTTTGAGTTCATCTTGTCTACAGTGTTTGTCCCCACAAATCAGAATCAACTTGGTGGCAACTAGAAACAACTTAATGTTTGTGTCCTGTGATGATTCTGTTCTCTTAATGCTTTTCTATATTCAAATGACTACAAAACCTTTGTTCCTGTAGCATGCCATCCATCGTGTTATTTGGCCTTCACTTGTCATGAACAGTTATTTAGGCATTAGATGCAACATCTGTTCTTTTCTCATTAGCCCATGACAATTAAAGCTGTGCTCTTTTTTGAAAATTCTTTGTCACGTCATTTCATGGTGTTAAAGTCTCAAATTAGTAAATAGTCTTAATGACATGAAAATGCCTTGTTGGTAAATTATCACTGCAAAAGAAGTTTTGCTTTTAACCAACAAAATCCAAATGAGTACATTGACAGTTATGGGACAATTATGGGTGAATGTTGTATCTTAATGTTAGAATATGCCAGTGTGGGTAACCCATTGACTCATTGCCATTGAGTTGATTGTGACTCATACCAACCCTATAAGACAGAGTAGAAGCGCCTCATAGGGTTTTCCAAGGCTGTAATCTTTGTGGAAGCAGACTGCCATACCTTTCTCCTGTGGAACAGCTGTTAGGTTCAGACTGCTAACTTTTTAGTAGCCAAGTGCTTAACTACTGTGCCACCAGATCTCCTTCTGGATAACCATTCATGTTAATGAGCCCATTAAAATAAGTACTTTGATTTTACTTTAGGGATAGGTGTCAAAAATAATCACAAAATGAATCAGAGCACTAAAATCACAAGTCAGTACTTACTTGCCAAGTGGTCATCCAGGTAATTCTGAATATATTTGAAATCATTGTTTTATAGATATTATGAAGTTAATTTTGTGTGTGTGTGAAGAACGCACAGACTCCCAAGATTATGTCTGATGACTCAGATGATGAAGGTCCCAGTTTGAGAAACACTAAATTGTTAGAAAAAAATAGTAAATCCTGAAGACCTGAGTACAAGATAAGACCCTGCTACTGAACTGTTGTAAGAACTTATGCAAGTGATTTAACTTTTCTGGGCATCAGATTCCTGATTTGTGGTAGAAATCGGGGCCAGGTTTGCTTTACTTCATAGTTAATGCTCTTCCTTCTTCCATTAAAAGGTGTGGGCTTTGAAATTCTGAAAATCTATATTGGACTTATTTTAATCATTAGTCTCAAAAAATTCAGTCCTGACAAGCAAATGTTATATAGCAGTAGATTTCCCATGAGGAGTCACATTATTCTATGAGATTATACTGATTATAAAGCTGCCCGGTTTGGTTTTGTTTCCATTATAGATTCTGATTCCCAGCACAGCCACGAAGTGATGCCTCTCCTCTATCCTCTCTTTGTCTACCTCCATCTCAGCCTGGTCCAGAACAGTCCGAAGAGCACAGTGGAAAGTTTTTATAGCCGCTTCCATGGAATGTTTTTACAGAACGCTAGCCAGAAGGATGTCATTGAGCAGCTACAGACCACTCAAACCATCCAGGACATCCTGTCTAACTTCACGCTTCGTGCATTCCTAGATAACAAGTATGTGATCCGTCTCCAAGAAGACAGCTACAACTACCTTATCCGCTACCTCCAAAGTGACAACAATACTGCCCTGTGCAAAATCCTCTCCTTGCATATTCATCTTGATGTGCAGCCCACCAAGAGAACAGACTACCAACTCTATGCCAGTGGCAGCTCCTCACGTAGTGAGAGCAGCGGCTTAGAGCCCACTGACATGCCCACCCCTATTCTGCAGAATGAGGCTGCCCTGGAGATCTTACAGGAGAGCATTAAGCGAGTCAAGGATGGGCCTCCTTCACTTACCACCATCTGTTTCTATGCCTTCTATAATACAGAGCAGCTGCTGAACACTGCAGAAATTTCCCCAGATAGTAAGCTGCTTGCTGCTGGGTTTGACAACTCCTGTGTAAAACTTTGGAGTTTACGATCCAAGAAATTAAAGTCCGAGCCTCACCAAGTAGACGTGTCCCGCATCCACTTGGCTTGTGATATTCTCGAGGAAGAGGTATGAGTATCATTTTTTCTTCCCTACATTTGCCCTACTAATTTGCTTAGAACATCCCCACCAAGCATGACTGATCTCACAGAGAATGGACTTATTTCCCTCATTGTATAATTAAAACCAAATTAATGTCATGTAACCCTTGGCCATTGAATTCCTGTTAATGCCTAATCTTGGAAAACTCAACTCATTGCCATCGAGTCAAATCTGACTCATAGCGACCCCTCCTTGGGTTTCCAAGGCAATATCACTATGAAAGTAGATTGCCCAACCTTCCTTCCAAGGAATGACTGGAGGGTTTGAACCGCCAGCCTTCTGGTTAGCAGTCACATGCCTTAGGCACTATGCCATCAGAGCTCCTAATCTTGGAAGAGATAAAAACTATTTTTAAAAACATTAATTAATAGTGTAATTGGGTAGTCACCGTTGTTTAGTGTGTGAAATGTGGATAACATCACTAAGCCTAACTAAAGACCTTCAGTTAATTTTGACTTTGATTGAGATTTACAGTAACTACCCTTATATATCTATATCTGCACATTTGTGCAAGTATAAATATTAGAAGTAGTATTACTGAGCCAAAGGGTCTGTGTGTTTTAAAACAAATTGTGGTTCTCAAATTATTACTTCTCACACAAAAACTGGTTGTGCCATTTTATAGTCTCAACAAAAGCAAGTGAGGTTTTCCTGCTCCTCATGAACACTGGTGTTACCATCTTTCTGAGGTACACATCCTCCTCCTTTGTGTACCCCAGGATGTTCCCAGACCCCAATTTGAAAAGCACCCAGGAAGTATGGTTGAAATGTAATCTGTCATCAGGTCTTATTTTGTCTGTTTTACACTGGTTATTGAAAAGGGAAAGCCCAGTGGCCTGAGTTTCTTGTCATACAGAATCACTACCTTGGAAAACATGTGGGCAAAGGGAAGGAGAGATTAAACTTCACAGAGTTAACTTTCCTGAGAGTGGTCCAGCAAGAGCTGTGGGCCACAATAAATTTGTCATATTACCATCAAAGTTCAAGCATGTGCTTTAAGTGATTAATGGAAAATTCTTTGTACTAGATTGAAAACTGAAGGAGTGAAGGATCACTCTAGTTGAATTATAGTTGCTGATAAGAATATCAAGAACATTGAGTGCACTAAGTTAAGACCTTTCTTTCTTACTCCTATTTTCTCAAGGACCTTCCAGTAATATGGCTTTGAAATTTTGATTCTTACAACTGAGACCATATCACTACAGAATTTGTTATGAGGAGTAGAAAGTCTAGCATCCCATGTACAAATTTGATTTCTAGAAGTTTATAGTACCTTCCAAAGTAATTTTCAGTGTACTTTTATTTGAATTATCACACTTCTCTTGTTCTTAGAGCTTATTCTAACTGGGGATACTTCACATACAGTGAGGGATACTGCCCTAACTTACTTCAATTTTCTATACATGCAAAAAAGAAGAGATTATTCCTCCTGACCTTATTAGCTTTGGGATACCAAATTTGGAGACTATTCTAGGCATTGAAAATTAATATAAAGGAAGATGGCAATATGGTATCTTAGAACATTAGACTAAAAGTAAAAATGTTAAGATTTTAGCCTGGTCACCACTGAAAACTAGCTCTGTCCTTTGAAGGTTTCTTGGCATTGGCAGCAGTGCATTTAAAGATCTACAAGTAAAGAATACCATGAGTAATTCTAAGATTTGAAAGACATTCGATATTTGCTGGGCTAGGAAGGGAGTAAGACTATTTTTATGTATGTTTTATAATTATAGTTTATTATTACATGTATATGCTTTACAAATTACAAATTCTGACTTAGGATGCATGCTTATTTACCATGGGATATTCAGTCAAAAATCCAGGGAATTCCTGGGTGTTATGCTGTTAGCCTGAGAGCAGGAAAGTGTCTGTATGAATGAACAGATGTAAAGAAACTGCTCTTTCAAGGTGTCAGCTCTATAGCAGGTCCTTGTAGAACTGGACTAAGCGACCCATGAAAATATGGCTGGATTATTTTAGGTTTTGGTCCTGGCAAAAAGCTGATAGTGATAGCCAGCAGGAAAGTCCTAGTTTACCCATTTCTTGATCTACAGAGGTAACCAGGCACTTTCCCATAGAATTGGGACAAGTATCTACATCCCTGAAAGACCCACTTGAGTTCCAGTTCAAGTGGCATCGTCTTCCATCCAACCCTTTGCAGCATCTCTGGGCACCAAAGTTTAGGTCCCACTTCCTAACTCCATAACTTCATACTCCAGATGAAGAACACTTGAGCCATAAAGATAATAAGATGACCTTTAATTCACAGTTAACTTTCAAAGGATTTTTGCATAATTCATCCTGGATCTTTTTTTTTTTTTTTTTTTTTTTGCCCCCACAGTTCTTATATAAACTTTCTGGTGTAGAGCAATGAGTTATCCTTGAAATTTTAAAGTATTATAATCTCTTTGAGAAGGAAAATGACTAATGTTCTTATTAGCACTCAGTCAAACCTTAAGCTCCAAAATGCTTATGTATTTTTAATGTTGAGTGTCTGAGATAGCCATTTTGAATACTGTAGGACATGAATGTTTATTTTCTCTTAACTTTTTCTCAAATATGTACACATTAGAAATATCCATTTAATTTTTAATGTAGTGGGTTTTCAAATTGATGTTAAAAGGGTACCCTCCCATGGTGTTTATTTCTAAGACAACTAAGTGAATTGCTGCAAGAACCTTTATCTTGCCTGTCTTACTTCTAGAGTTTAATTAAAATCCATTTTAATTTATAAATTCCAGGCTAAAGACAGCTATAGTTTTGAGGAGCTTGTCTGTGAGAGAATAAAGGGAAATGAATTTTGAAACCAGTTAGTACACTTGTGGGGAAAGAAGAGAGGAAGGGGCCTTTCTTTCGGAGTACCATTGATGGCTTTCTTCTTTCTGACCCCCATCCAAGGAAATAATTTCCAAGAATCACATGAGTTACTTGGTTTCCTTAAAACAATTCTCAATCCATGCCCTTTTTTGTTACTTTGGAGAAATATTTAAGACCTTTCAGAAAGTCACTATTTTAAAATGTCATCTTTATTTCTTTGTGTCCACCAGCAGTTTATGGCTGGTGACAATGTATGTGTTTAATTTATTAAATACTATACCTTTCTAGCTTACTATTAATTCTAGTGTTTCCGGGTTGTATTTTGTCTAAACTCACATAACAGTTCTGTATTAATCTCTAAGTAACACCACTTTGTTTCATGTATTGCCACCTTCTTCGTTAACCCCAGTCATGGGAGTAATAAACTTGTCAGTATTGTTTCAAATGGAATGGACATGGAAGTGAGTCATAGCTTATAAAGCAACTGGAAACTTCAGATAAAGATATACCCATGGAATAAAAGAATCTAAGTTGTTGTTACGTGCCATTGAGTCGGCCCCGACTCATAGTGACCCCTCTTTGGGTTTCAGAGGCAGTATCACTATGGAAGTAGATTGCCCAACCTTCCTTCCAAGGCGTGGCTGGTGGGTTTGAACCGCCAGCCTTCTGGTTAGCAGTCAAGTGCCTTAGGCACTATGCTACCAAAGAATCTAAGATGGTAACATAAATTCTGAAGTAAATCTTTTCAAATGACTTGTATCAGAATTAACAAAGAAAACAACCAGAGGCTACATTTTAATCAACTTTTAAAATACATGTTATCCTTAACCTAAGAGTAAGATCCATAGTTTTTACTCTATAATAACAACTTTGCATCTCTGTATCTTTTGATCTGATACAGCTTTAGCTGCAAGGTGAATTTAAAGAAAACCATTTGTAAGTTCCAAAAGACTTCCTGTTCCTTTCAATTATGAGTTATTTTCCTGGGGTCACCTTAAGGGTAAGGCCGCTGTCCTTTACTAGGTAGATGCTACTTCCTAAGCAATCCCCCTTCCTTTCCCTCTCCCCACCCTCTCATTTTCCGTGTCAGTCCACTAAACTTTTTCTTTCTTGTCTGTTTCCCGTCCACCCTTATCTTCACTCCCGATGTTCTTCTAGGATGATGAGGATGATGGCACAGGCACAGAAATGAAGATACTGCGAGGACATTGTGGGCCTGTATACAGAACAAAATTCCTGTCAGACAGCTCAGGGTTACTCTCTTGTTCTGAAGACATGTCCATTAGATATTGGGACCTTGGAAGTTTCACCAACACTGTGTTGTACCAAGGACATGCCTACCCTGTATGGGACTTGGACATTAGCCCCTATAGTCTGTACTTTGCCAGTGGCTCCCACGACCGCACTGCAAGGCTGTGGTCATTTGACCGGACTTACCCACTGAGAATATATGCAGGGCACCTGGCAGATGTGGATTGTGTCAGATTCCACCCTAATTCTAACTACTTAGCCACTGGTTCAACTGACAAGACCGTTCGGCTGTGGAGTGCTCAACAGGGGAACTCTGTGAGGCTCTTCACAGGCCACCGAGGTCCTGTGCTTTCTCTTGCATTTTCTCCCAACGGTAAGTACTTGGCATCTGCTGGCGAGGACCAGAGGTTGAAGCTCTGGGACTTGGCATCTGGAACCCTTTATAAAGAGTTGAGAGGCCACACGGACAACATCACTAGCCTTACATTCAGCCCGGACAGCAGCTTGATTGCCTCTGCCTCCATGGACAACTCTGTTCGTGTTTGGGACATCAGGAACACTTACTGCAGTGCTCCTGCTGATGGCTCCTCCAGTGAACTTGTGGGTGTATACACCGGGCAGATGAGTAATGTGCTGAGTGTACAGTTTATGGCCTGTAACCTTCTTTTAGTGACGGGGATTACACAAGAAAATCAGGAACATTAATTTTTTATTTTTATGTTAATGGATTGAGGCAATGGTAGAAGGCCTCAGGATTACAAGTCTTACTACAAACTGAGATTAAATCACTGACTGACTGTGAAAAACACTTCCCTACTCTTCCTTTTTTCCTGTTGACGGACATCCTTACTGTACCACACCTTCATTGAGCTCCCCCACATGTTGAAGGACTGAAGTGGGAGAAGAGAGGTGATGATAAGTGCACATTAGAACAAGAATTAAGGTACTTGGAAGGTCAGATGGCAAGTTCTTAACAAAGACCCCACTATGACCTTGTGCAAGTATCTTAGTGTCTCTATCTCATCTTTCCTGTCTGTAAAACTGAGATAATACTTACCTCATCTGGGTGCTGGATTTGATTAGAGGATGATTGCAAAGCACTTTCAAGATAAGCAGTGCTACAAATGTTAAGTATTATCGATCACTTTGGTTGAAGGGATATCCTTATTGATTTAGGAATGCAGGGGATGGAATGAGGAAAAGGGAAGGGGGATAATCCTGGCAAAAAAGTCTTTCCTTTTCCATAATTACAAAGAAACAGGATTTTTTTTTATTATTGCTATTATAATAATTATTATTATTATTATTGAGAAGAGGAAATCTAGCACTGGCAGAGGCTACTTTCTCTCCTTTTATCTTTCAGGTTTGACTCCTGGCACTGGCTGTGATACTTGGAATTTTGAGGTTCAGGGAAATTAAAAAATTTGGTAGCACAGTGTTTTGGGAGAAAAGGAAAATTTCTGGGTGACAGATTAATAACTGTGGCAGACTTGTTTCTAAAAGCAGGTGAGTGGATTTGATGGAGAAAATGTTGGGGATCTTGCAGTGACCGTGAAAAAGAAAGATTCTTTTCATGGCTGCACTTCTGTTAGTAATTATCTCCCCTGAAAAGAATGATTATGGTAATGAAATGAGAATAATTTGAAATTATAAGTCACAAGACAGAATTAGAAAATATCAAACTTCCAAATGACTGTTTATTCAGAGATGTAACTTTTCCACACCCCTTTTGCCCCTGAGAGTACCCTGACCCCCCTCCTCCACTGCAGTACCGGTAATGAACAGTTTGTGAAGCAAATCCTAAGTACACACACATATGAAACTGCTCTGAGACTAGAGCAAGTGCTAATTTGTGGAAAGTGGATTAAATACTTGTTTTCTGAAAAGAGTTATTTTGTATTTTATTTTCTATTAAAGTGTATTTAGTTTTCAAAGCAAAACAAAACAAAAAAATGTTGGCATCTTTTGTCAGCTTTGAAGAAAGGAGGGTATTTGGTTTGTCCTAAGTAATATGCATCTCATCTCTCTTCAGAATAGCCAATTGGGTAGATTAGCCCAAACGAAGTTACGTTTTTTTCTTTTCTTATTTTCTGTTCAGCTTACTTTGATTCCCCTTGGCATTCATTTGGATTTTTGATAGCATAAAATACCATTTATAAATCCCAAGATTGCCAGTTGCTGACGGAAGATATTATACATTTTACTATCTAGAGTTCTTTGGTAAGGCTCTACTTCCAGCTGCCTTTAGAGATCCATTATAACATCTCTAAGGGCTATAAGAACTGTGTTAATTAATTAACACAAACTGTTTACTGAAAAATTCAAGATAAAGAATTTGATCAAAGATTATATAATACCAAACTTAAAATATTGACTTTGATGTCTTATGGATAGATGAGAAATTAGTTAGAGGTCATATTTACTGAAATTAAGGTATTGTTCAAATTAATGGATGCATTTGGTAGAAAAATAATAGGAGCTATATTTCTGTGTTCCAAGCAATGTGATGTCTACATTTAAATCCTCACATGTACTTAAAAAAAATAATGCAGAGTAAGTGAAACTGGAAGATGGGATTTTATTCTCAATTATTTAAAAAAAAAAAAAATCTACTTACTTCCAAACAATTTTCTAGTGAAGACATCAGGAAATTAAGTAAGAAAACCCCAGAATTCTATGCCAATTTTCTTTTTCACTTGTGTCTAAGATGCTAATTATATTGGAAATGTTTGTTATTCATAAACACACATATTTGAGACATTGTAAGAAGGGTCCTTTGGCAACTTAGCAAGACAATGTCATCTTCCACATGTTCTGCAGATAAAGCCAAGATTTAAATGTGTTCTTACCTGTAATAATTGAACTTTTAAGTTTGAATATGGTATATTACTAGAAATAATGAAATTCCTAAATTGGGCTGAATCATTCTCAAAAGTGAAAGTATCACTGGCCTTAGGATGATTGCAAAGGTTTTTGTTTGCTTGTTTGTTTTTAATTCAGAGCTTCCTTGATTAAAAATGTGTTAGATTTGTCAGTCTTCACATTACCAAATCATGCCCATGTTTTGTGATTTCAGTTCACATTGTTAAAGACCATGATATTTGGCCTTTATTTTCATTTGTAAACTAATCTTAATGTAGACTAATTTAACTTTTTGTACAGTGCCCTTCATAACTTCCCCAAATCCTTGAAAGTATTAAGAAGGATCTGTTTGCATGTTGATGTACACATGGGTGCATAAGAAAACAGTTAGACTCTTCAGATGCTCTCCAGCATTATTTCACTTTATTCTTGGAACAATCCTGTGAGGTAGACAGGAATGGTGATATTACCATTTTATAGATGAAATGTCTAAAGTCCAGAAACTTATTTTATTTATTGACGTATTGACACCCAGTGTGAAATATTCACATGTCTTGAATGTGTTATATAGATTCAGAATCCTCAAGTTCTAGCTGGAAGGTATAGCACTGAAGGTAGAAGCACTTTTTTTAAAAATCCTCCAAAAAGGAACTATGAATTACTTTATTTAACAAGCATGTATGTAGTGTTTAATATGTGCCAGAAACTGCTCCAAAGGCTTTATGAAAATTAACTTATTTAAATCCCTTAACAATCCTATGAGATAAGTGCCATTATTACCCCCATTTTACAGTGAGGCAGTTGAGGCATGGATGGATTAAATCACTTGCCAAAGCTCATGCAGCTGGTAATTGGTGAAGCCAGAATTTGAACCTGGGCAGTCTGGCTCCAGAGTTCATGCTATTAATCATGCTGTTTTGTCTCCCTTCATTCCCTCAGTATCAAATAAAAGTGGACTGCGTTTAGTAGTAACTATAACTATTCCTAGCAGTAGTTGCAAGACTCATGTTTTCCTTTGCTAAGTAAGTTAGCAGCAACAAGTAGGATCAGAACTTGGCAGTAAGAACAAACCTAAACAATATATGGCTAATAGAAACATCAGAATAGTTAAGAATTTTAGACCACAATGATAAATCTCTGCAATGCTAGCCTACCGGCACACATGGCCACTGAAAGGGTCATTGTTACGAGGTGTAGAAGTGTTGAAAAGACAAGCTGTAATTTCTTAGGCTGACAGGCTTGGAAAATCTAATTCTAATTTAGTAGGAGACTGGCCAAAAGGAAGAGACAAAATTGGCATAATGGAATGTGATTAATAGAGAGGAAATAATCTAAAGTTTTTATGTCCAAGATCCTTCTAAAGATAATCATGTTTACTAGATTTTCATTTGTTCTGTCCATATGTTAAAAATGCTTTGGTTGTATAAAAAGTCTATTGAATATGTAGGTTTCTAATTTTGCTATTGCCCAGATTGATACTTAAGTATATGGAGTAAAAGATTATACTTCAAATTGTCTTTCAGTTTCATGTTTTAGAAATGTGTTCGTTATATCTGTACCTGCACCAAAATTCATATTGCTGACACCTACATAGCAGCCGAATGACTCAGAAACTGCCCTATGGTAGACAGAAAATCCCATTATAGAATATCAGTAATGCAAATGTTCCTTGCTAGTTTGACTCATTGAAGGACAACTTAGTTACTTAGCTATGACTGACTGATTCCTAAAATAATTATTTTTATATTGATTAAGTATGTCAGTACTTACTATAAGCAGACATGTTACCTAATGGAAATACAGTGATAAAACAGATATAGTCCCTGACTTGACTAGCCTAGAGAGGGAGACAGATATTAATCAGATAATACCATAAATATAGTAAGTGTTATATACTAAGTGCTATGGAAGAATATACTACAGGTACTAATTTAGATTAAGCATTCAAGGAAGACCTCTCTGAGGAGGTAACAATTAAAATGTAAATTGGATTACATTACTTCCCTGTTCTGAACTCTTCAGTGGCTTCTGTTCCACCTAGGATAAAAGCCAAATTCCTGGCAGTGCTGAAGTCCTGTCAGCTGTCCAACTTCATGTCATGCTGCTCTGCTCCCTGCTCACATTGTCTCAGTCACAGTGGTCTTAGAGAGCTCCAAGTTCTTTCCCATTTGAAAGTCTGTACCATTCTGTCTTGAACTCTGCCTAGCTATTATTGTTAGCTGCCATTGAGTCTGTCTTTGACTCGTGATGATCCCAATATACAACAATACGAAATGCTTCCTAGCCCTGCACCATCCTCATAATGGGTTTTGGATCAGATGCTTATGATCCAGAGGGTTTTCATTGACTGATTTTTGGAAGTAGATCACCAGGCCTTTGTTCCTAGTCTATCTCAATCTCAAAGCTCCACTGAAACCTGTTCAGCATCATAGCAACAAATGAGCTTCCACCTTAGACAGGTAGTATCTGTACATGAGGTGCATTGGCCAGGAATCAAACATAGGTCTCCTGCATGGAAGGCTACCACTGAACCATGAATGTTCTCATAGCTCCTACTTATCCTCCAGGCCTCTGCTTAATTGTTCACTGGCTGCTACATAGAACATGGATTGGAGGATGGGAAGGTGAAAGCCAAGAGGTCAATGGCATAGTCCATGGGAGAGGTGAGAGTAGCATTGACTATGGTGGCCATAGTGGAAATTAAGAAAAAAAAGATCCAATAAGTATTTTAGAGGTTGATATGGCTGAACTTGTGTTGGATTGGGTGGAGAGAGAAGAGAGGAAAGGCACGGGTGACCCACATATTTCTGGTATAAGCAACTTGGTACTGAAGGTTGCCATTT